CAATAATGACTTATAACACGACTTCTACAGATATCACAATAATGACTTATAACACGACTTCTACAGATATCACAATAATGACTTATAACACGACTTCTACAGATATCACAATAATGACTTATAACACTACTTCTACAGATATCACAATAATGACTTATAACACTACTTCTACATATATCACAATAATGACTTATAACACGACTTCTACAGATATCACAATAATGACTTATAACACGACTCCTACAGATATCACAATAATGACTTATAACACGACTTCTACATATATCACAATAATGACTTATAACACGACTTCTACAGATATCACAATAATGACTTATAACACGACTTCTACAGATGTGAAAGGAAATATTTTTAAACTTTCCAGTACGAAATTTCTTGTACAATTTAACCATTCAATTAACGAGATTTTGTTTTACATTTTTTACTTATTTGTTCTGTCTTATTTCTTTTCAGTAAAAACCTTGTATATTTGCTGTTTTTTATTAGTTTTGAATAATTCATTATATATATTTTTTTGAAATTTCGAACCCACAATAGAAATGAGATTCGAGTATATTGTTTAATAACACAAACTATGTGGACTGGGAACGTCTTAAGTATATTGTTTAATAACACAAACTATGTGGACTGGGAACGTCTTAAGTGTATTGTTTAATAACACAAACTATGTGGACTGGGAACGTCTTAAGAATATTGTTTAATAACACAAACTATGTGGACTGGGAACGTTTTAAGTCTATTTCCAGCTCTTTAGATACTATTATCCATAGAAAAGCTATAGATACTTTATCAATCTCTTATAACTAGTCTGTCTTTCATGTAATGCCAACATGAAGCTGAGGTTTTCAAGGGTCTCACTACGATACCAGCCAAATTGAAGGTCATATCTTAACTTAACCTGCTATCTATCCAGGATTTACTTTCTCGACGATAAACAATAGGTAGCTACTGTTAATCAATATCCAAAGGTGATGAATATTATTAAACAATTGACCTAAAGCCTCTCTTACTCAGGTTATATCAGGAACAAACAATGAAACTGTTGATGTAAATTTATTTGGTGTTCCAATTATTGATTAGAAATGGTTCTACCTATTCCATTAGATAAAATACACAATGGACACCCAGTTAGAATAAGAATGATGTGTAGTTTGTGTTAACAAGAAGTCAGTTAATGTGTATTCTACACCACGAAACAGAATTTGCCATTTCAACAAACATATTTATAACATAAGACCACAATAATGGTTCAACTGTGTTTTATTTAAATATTGTTTATTGTCGGATATACAAAGTATAATATTTATGGTTACGACGTTTCACCAGGTTAACTTGGCACAGTGGTACCATCAGGTACAACAACTACAAAGATTGAATTCCTGATTTAGATCTAGCGGATGGATACATTGGTATTTGGTTA